TCCTTGGGCACGGCAGAAATCACCACTTTTTTTCCTTCGCTTTTTGTTCTTTTTTTTTCAATACAAGTTGGCGCCTCAGGCATGGGAGGATCAATGGGTAGATGTGTTGGGTCTTGTAGCGAGAGAGGTCGACAATCAGGACATTGGGAAGCATTGGTTTGGAGCTTCATACAAAATGGGCTCGCGCTGGAAGTCTGTGGCATTCAATGCGGCGTTAGATGATGTGCCCTTTTGTCTTTTTTGTCTGGGCTGGCTTGGAGTAGAAGATTTATTATGGGAATTTCCTGATCAATACATTAAATTGAGAAAAAATTATCGAGCATTGAAGTGATGCATATCCCTTTTTGAGTTTTTAGGTAACCAGGCCAGAGTTTTAACTTCACCCAGCCTTATAAACTTCTACGAAAACACTTAACCTTTGCCCATCCCAGAAGTCTTTACAGTTCTATTCTTCATCCAGACACCATCACTGCCTTGGAGGGACTAACAGACATTGAAGTAAGCTGGTGTCTCTTGCCAGTTCGGAAACTTGAACGGCATGGCCACCTACAAGCAACTCCATCGCGAACCAGCTTTTAGAGAGCTGTTCAGCAAGAGAATCATAACTCTGCAAGATCTATATGATATTTCTAAGAACTCGAGCATTATCGCAATCGACACTGAGCATTTTCCCATCACAAGCGAAAAGGATCGAATCCTGCACCAGGTCGGCCTGGCACATGTTCAGACTCTAATACATGATTTACCCCAGACGAACGATACATCACGCAGTACCAGCCGGCCATGCTTTCAAGATTTTTACACAGAGAACAAAATCCGGGCGTTAACTCTCATTATCAACATCAGCAAAGAAAAGCGAGAGGAAATTGTTCGTCTTAAGGGCGAAGGCGGCGTGCCAACTCGACGTCGGCACCGGTTTGGCAGAGAGCAACAAGTTGATCTTGACAATTTAGAAGAAATCATTATCGAATTCATACAGAGCTGTGATAGCAAGGGAAATTTGGTTCTGATGGGCTTTGAGATGGCAGCTGAGTGGACGTACTTGTCCAGAAACTTCCCTCGTGCCGTACCTTTCTTCTCGACGTGGGTGGATCTTCGGGATATTGCTAAAGATATTAGTTCGTCAGTTGGGGTGATTCCAGGGTTGGTATCTTTGTTGAAGATTTTTGGATATCACTGGAAGGATATTCAGCCTGGTAGAGGGGATCTCGGTGGTGGCATTGCTGATAATGCTGGAGATGATGCTGTGGCTACTTGTGTGTTGGCCAGCGCTCTCCTTGATTCGGAGAACCATGAGAAACTACGATTTCGGCAGGAATGTAGCCGGATTGCTGGGAGGAAAGGGTACCGGGTTCCGAGTGTGCGGGATCGCTTCACTGTGTCGATTTGTGCTCAAGGATTACTTCCCTCTATGATTAATTCGGGGATGAAACTGGCTTGCCAATTCTTCGATTATTCACCACAATCTGCTGGGATAATGTCCGAGGAGATGGCCTATCTCACATTCAGAAGTCAAGACCAAATGGATCAATTCGTAGCTGCTATACATGGACTTGCATTGCCGACAGGCGAGGTTTTATCAGTTCAAGGCTATTTCCGGGAAAATAGATTAATGGAAAGTGAAGATAATGGGCGAAAAGAGAAACAGGAGCTAAGACGGAGGAAGAGGCTGGAGGGGACTGCGAGCGAAGTGGAGGATTTGGGGAGTCTTTTTTCTAGCTAATTTCCTTCTTCGTGACTTCATTGACAGATATTATCGATCTATATATATATAGAACATATCTTTGCAGCGAAAAATAGAAATTTTTTTGTTTCCTCCATCAATGGAGGCATTCTGTACGGAGTAGTTAACTTGTACTTTGATTTTACGTCTTGTTGCGTGATTAGTCATCCAACGACAGAATTTGGTCTTTGCATCCCAAACCATCCCACTTCACCACAAGAAGGTCTCCAAGAGCCACCAGCCGCAACAATGAGCTCTCAATCACTCCGCTCGATATACCGAGCGAGGCCAGAGCTGGCACAGGCTGGAAATGCCCTGAGAGGCTACTTCCGCCAATTCTCCACGACGCAATCGCAGCTCGACGCGGCCCCGGCCGATCCCAATGCCAAACCTACAGCTCGACAGAGGACCCGCGCGGCGGCCAGCGAGATCAATTCTTTGGTGAAGAATCGGACACCTAGCCAGGGAGCACGGAACCCGACAGACTCTTCAGCGGCGCCGGCACAGCCAAGAGTGATTGATGTGCGGAGTCTTCCCAAGGGAGGCATGCTTCGAAGGCCGGGTGGACTGCGAGGACGAGGCCCAGGTGCGGGCACGGGCACAGGCGGGCCAAGTGCTGCTGGTGCTCCTCGAGCCGCTGGTGCTCCTCGACCTGCTTCACCGACCGGGAACCGATTCTCGGCCGCCAACAGAGGGAAGGGAGGCTCTGCGCTTGGAGCAGGACGAGGAGGACGACCGGGCGGACGACCAGGAGGCAGACCCGGCGCGGGCAAGGGCAGGGCGGCGAAGAAGACCGAAGGCGAGGGCGGCAACAAAGCAGCCGGTGCCGCTGGCCCTCGTGGCAAGAGGCAGGATCCCTTTGAGAGGATGGATCCCCAGGAGCAGCAGTTTGACGACGCCGTGCGGTTCGGCACGCGCACCGAGTTCAAGCCCTCTCTGACCAAGGAGGCCCTGACGACGTTTGTGCCGGCCACCCCCGCGACGCCCGAGGGCCGCCTGGCCACCGTCATGGAGAACCTCAGCATCCTCGGCGGCAGGGCGGATCCCGTGGGCGTGCCGCAGGGTCTGCAGGCCAAGAACTACGCCGACGAGGTGCAGGGCAACGGCGCGAGGTTCTTCGCTGATGTCAAGGCTCGTGAGGCGGCGGAGGAGTATCTCCAGGAGAAGCAGCGGGAGAAGCTGCTGGCTGAGGGCAAGGAGGTGCCCGCTGAGCAGCAGCCCATTATTAAGGACGCTGAGGAGGCTGTTAAGAAGGCCATCCTCGACCAGGCCGTTGCGGGGAAGCACGAGACGCCGCGGTTTGCGACTGACCCTGTCGGTATTTCGAGGGCGTGGCACTTGAGGTCCGGGACGTACACCCAGAGGGACGTGGAGAAGTTTGAGAAGAAGCTGACGACGTTGTTGGGCGTGGGCGCGGTTGGTAAGGGAGGCAAGAATGTGAAGGCTCAGGCGAAGGCTTGAGGTGGGAGAAGCTGATGAAAGAAAGACGAAAAGAAACAAATGTATTTTGTACGATTAAAAGAACGCTAGAAATATGGCTGCTGTTTGATGTAAAAAAATCTTCATGAATGGGAAACATACATGTTCATATACGCTGAAATTCCTCGTGTGATATATCAAATCTGTACTATACAAATGGGTATGGGCGGCTTCTTAAGCGCACGCACCGGGAATCTACCTGCGATCAATCTGCTTAATCACCTGTGCCTCTTCACCGTCAATCTCCTTCATCTTCTTGTCCTGCAGCTTCTGCAGCTCCTTGTCCGCCTTGCGCACCACGTCGGGCAACACAGTACCATTCTTCTTCCAGTCCTTGAGCGCCTTCTCATGCTTAGTGCGAGCCTGGCGCACACGATCCCTCCAGCCCTGACAAGCGTCCTTTACACGACGCACGAGGTCCTCCTTGCGCTCCATCTCGACCTTGAGGAGGAGCTCGAGCTCGTTGTCGTCGGAGCGCTGGGGCTGCTGGTTGAAGTCCTTGCTAGCCTGGACGGCGGACATGATGGGCTTGAGATACTCTCGCTCATTAACGAGCAGAGAGATGATGCGTCCGGAGCGAGGCACGATCTGGGCGAGCTCGCGCAGGGGAAAAGTAACCTTGGAGCCATCATCGTCCTTGATGGCGACGGAGAGGGCGCCGAGGGCGTCGGGGTTGAAGCGGCCGCCGTGCAGGACGGCCTGGAGCTGGGTCTTGAAGTGGGCGTCGATGGAGACGTATGCGGCGGTGAGGGAGGAGAAGTCGAGGGGGTCTTCGGGGTTGGGCTGGCCGTGGTCTGCCTTGGAGGAGGAGCTGGAGGGGGAGGATGATGAGGGTGAGGGAGCGGTTGAGTCTGCGGAGGGGCTGTTGCTTGCGCCGGCGATTTTGCGCTTTTTGAGGAGAGGCGTGGAGTTGCTGAATGGACGGATGGATAAGGGGGCGTGAGAGGCCCTGGTTGTATGTGTAACGCTCGTCAATGGGAGGAGAGAGGAGATGCTGGAGAGTTGGCGCCTGTATGAAGTTGAATGCCAAGGTTAGCTTGAGCTGTTCTATCCGTGGGAATGGCAATTGGTTTGATAAGATGGTCTTACGCTTCCCTCTGCGCCAACAGGCGCATTCCGTGGTTGGCAAGGCTGCTAGTACGAGAGAGAGCCATGGCAATGGATATGTTGAAGGTGAAGGTGATGGATGGTTCGTGTTTCGTGTAAGAGCTTGCAGAAGCTTGCACGAGGTACCAAGTACGTCACCCCACCTGCTGTGTCCTGATAAGATAAGAATGTTGACGGTCACAAGAAGTCTGCTTGAGGAGCTGCCGAATAGATCGGGTAACTGAAATACATATCTAAGACGTCTAAATTAAATATGTTTGTTGATTCTATACTCTAGAATTTTCAAGAAAAGTCAACCTGGTATAGCTGTACTCTGCTGTTCATTACTACGGTAGGTAGAATGCTGTGATAACTGTTCCACCTTCAAGACAATTACCTACCTACTGAGCTCACTGCATGCAAAATGACAGCGATATACCCTGGAAACAAGATTCGAGAATTGGATAGAGTGCTAATATCTTGTCCTAATCTATTTACCCAGATCATTCATCAGTAAAGCTAATTGCAGTCGTTTCCATAACCTCGCCAGACCTCTTACCCCGCCATTAGATCTTCAGACCAAAAAGGGAACGTCAACACAACATCAAAGGAGCAGTAAGCACCTTCGCTAGCCTTCAGTGTCAAAAAGAGAACAAGAAAGGATGATAAGTACATGAACAATGGCAAAAAGAGAAATCTCAGTACTGAGAAATGACCATGGCAGGGGTCGAACCTGCGACCTTTCGCGGTATTACTTTGTAAGGCGACTGCGCTAACCACTGCGCCACATAGTCTGGTTACTAATTGTTGTGGATTTGCTGGGAAGATGATGCTATAGAGCTTACAGCTTTCAGGGCACTTTCAGAGCAAGAATTTGAATGGATGTCATCGCACTTGCGTTTCTTACTACCTCGTAGGTGCAGAATGTAAATAGAGTTGCAGACGGCTGGATGTCATCAGAAGTCTAATTCCCTTTTCTGACTGCATAACGACTAGTTTTTGCCATTTTTGGATGTCTTGATCTTACATGTGTTCCTGGAACTACTATTCACTGGGGCCAAGCACAGCTGGGACTACGATGCCACTATCTAAAAAGGGAAACATGGCAGAGGTCACTTCCGGTATTGGGTCATTCCATGTGTGTGTAATTATCGTTATTTCATTGAATCATGGGATATTAAAAAGCATTGGCTACTCTATCTCGCTTTTGACTACTTAGCTCTGCAGGGGCTTACCCATACCGCCGTAGGTAATCATCTTGGTGATCTGGTACTCTGCAATACCATACTTTGATCCCTCTCGGCCGAAACCGCTCTCCTTGACACCACCGAATGGCGCCGCAGGGTCGGAGATGATGCCCGTGTTGACACCAATCATGCCGACCTCAAGAGCTTCAGCAACACGGTGAACCCGCTCCAAGTCGCGAGAGAAGAAGTAGCCGGCCAGGCCAACCTCGGAGTTGTTGGCCAGCTGGACGACCTCGGCCTCGGTCTTGAAGGGGAAGAGGCCGGCGACGGGGCCAAAAGTCTCCTCCGAGGCAATGGCCATGTCAGCCTTCATGTCGCGGAGGACGGTGAGCTGGAAGAAGTTGGGGCCGACGTCGGGCAGCTTCTGGCCGCCGACGAGTAGCTTAGCGCCCTTCTTGACGGCGTCCTGGACGTGGGCGTCGACCTTTGAGATGGCGCGCTCGTGGATGAGGGGGCCGTGGGTGATGCCCTCGGCGAAGCCGTTGCCGACCTTGAACTGCTTGACCTTTTCGACAAACTTTGTCACAAAGGCCTCGTAGATGCCCTCCTGGACGTAGATTCGGTTGGCGCACACGCAAGTCTGCCCTGAGGATCGGAATTTAGACATGATGGCGCCGGCCACAGCGGCGTCGAGGTCGGCGTCGTCGAAGACAATGAAGGGGGAGTTTCCACCGAGCTCCAATGACAGCTTCTTGAGTGTGGCGGATGACTGCTTCATCAGGAGCTTGCCGACACCAGTTGAACCAGTGAAGGAAACCTTCTTGATGGTAGGGTGAGTAGTCAACAGTTCGCCAATGGCCACGGTATTGTCCAATGTCGTCACAATGTTGACAACACCCTTGGGGATGCCGGCGCGGTGAGCCAGCTCAGCGAGCGCAAGGGCTGTGAATGGTGTCTCTCCAGGAGCCTTGCACACGACTGTGCATCCAGCTGCCAGCGCAGGGCCAATCTTTCGTGTAATCATGGCGGCGGGGAAGTTCCAACTGTGGTCACTTGTGTCAGCATATACATCATACAATGAGTAATCGGTTCAACGTACGGTGTAATCAGACCGCAGACACCAACGGGCTCCTTGAGAGTCCACACTCGGTTTCCAGGCACGGTGGCAGGAATGACATCACCATATACGCGCGGCGCCTCCTCGCTGAACCACTCAAAGAAGTTGGCAGCATAGGTAGATTCGCCTCTGGCATCGGCAAGCGGCTTTCCGTTCTCCCAGGTAATAAGCTGGGCAATATCCTCGGCGTTTTCCACGGCGAGGTCGTACCACTTGCGCAGCATCTTGGAGCGCTCGCGGCCGGTCAATGAGCGGAAGGTCTTGAAAGCCTCGGCGGCAGCAGTGATGGCTGACTCGGTGTCGTCGATGGAGAATTCGGGGGCAGTTCCGATCAATTCGCCAGTGGCAGGGTCTGACATTCGAGGGGTTAGCTACCTTCATAGAGAACACTCGAGAAGATGGGAATATGAGGCGAGACTAACCGTTGACCTTGAATGTCTTGCCAGACTTGGCAGCCACCCACTGGCCATTAACATAGCAGACATCCTGCTTCAGCAAGGAAGGATCTCTGAGCTGCACGTTGTCAATTCGAATTAGCCTTCAGCCAGTTTTAGAAATTGGACACTGGGCTATTGCGCCACGTCGCACGCACCTTGGGAGCCATGGTTGAAGCTCTTCTGTATAATATGGACGATACACCAGGAGCGAAGCGAAATGTCGAAGGAGAAGCGAGTCTATGCAGTAACGCCATGGGAACAAACAAAAAGAGGGGAGACGATGAAAAAAAGAGAATGGGTCAACCTAATATAGAGTAACGACTCGCGAAATGAAACCGGCAGCCGTCAATTGGGGGGAGGTTCCTCGGGATGTGATTGGAAATGCAGAATGCGGAGGAGACAGCCTTCAACAACCGGGCCGGGTCAAAAGGTGCGGATGGAGGCGGGGGAAAACAGGGCGAAAGGCGATGCAGCGCAGCTCTGACGTCTCGAAAACGCGGGAGTGCAGCAGCGGGGTCACAGGGCACAATGCCGGCACTGGCCAGGGTCCAAATTCCGTTTCTAGGCGCTAGAAGCCAAGAAAGCGTAGGTTCTTTTGGTGGAATCAATTGATGGTGTTCATTATGGATCCCATTACTTGATGTGCAGAGGCCGGGCCGGTTCTGGGGGGAGCGACTCCGGAGCTGGGCCGGGACGGAAGATTCCGCCTGGAATCGGAACTTCTCTGGTTGTTATCTTCGTTATCAGCGATATACGGCGACGCATGGCTTGGAATCAAGGCTGCTAGGAGAATTTGCTATATTTGGATGGATTGTTCATCAAATGTGGGTATATATATAAGACAAAAGAAAGGAAGAGAAAAGAAATCATATAGGTGGACGGTGGCAATTTTTGGAGGTGGCTTCTTGTCCCTCCTCCTCGTGCCTGTGCCTGTCAGCCTCCAGGGCCTTGGTGTCATTAACCGTCATATTACATGCGTAAAAGCATGAAACGCCTTTGCGCCGATTTTTCCCGCCGAGTGACCCAAACCCCCCATTTGTCAGGGGACATATAAATAGACAAGAAATGTAGACACAGGTTGCCTAAGAGTATACCATCGCCTCGTGCTCCTGTCTTAGCGGAAGCTTTCGGTCGAGGATGTGGAAGGCTTGTGTTCTCGGCGTATAAGGCATGGCTCCCGATGCCATTGGGGTTTTCATGTTGGTTGGCCAACCGGACATCTCCAGGCCCTTGCCCTCCTTGATGCTTGGTGCCTCGTCATCCTCATCCTCGTCGGTCTCGAGGTTGTTGAGGGGGTTTGGCCACATGCAGTAGAGCGAGAAGCCGAGGACAATCACATATATGGTCCTGTGAATGGAATTAGCATACATGCAGAGAAACCGTGGCGCAGACATCTAATGAGACTTACAACATGTACAACGTGATGAAGAGCGAACCCTGCGCAATCTGGCAGTTGGTGTACTGTCCATACGGCTTGGCCATATCGCAGCCATATCTAAAGTACCATGCTGCCGGGGCCGGGTATCTCGGATCACTGTAGTCGGGGCCCACCTGTCCGTAGACGCTCACGGCGTAGAGAACAACCAGCGCCAAGCTGCCCAGAGTGGACAGGAGAGGGTACCAGATTCTTATGATGACCGCAATGAGCTTGGTGAGCAGGAAGAAGAGCGAGATGACGGAGATGGCGACATTGAAGTCAGTGAGCCTAATATGACGCTGTCAGCAAAGGTAATATACCTTTTCAACGGATGACTTATAACTCACGTTCTTGACCAGATGAGAGGAATCTTTGGCTGAGCTACATGGTTGGCATAGGCAAAGAGGATGACATCGGGGTTCGAGTTGAGGCGGTGGTCCCAGCCAATCTTCCACATGGCAGATCGATACAGATCAGGCTGGGAGAGACCAAAAATGGTCAGGATGGGCACGAGGCCGATGAATTCCGCCAGCATCAACCAACGGATGGCCAGTCTCGGGACTCTGGGCCATTTTCGATGGAGGACGTGGTAAGTGAACTTCCGGTTGGTGTCAAGGATGCCCATTTTGTCGACTGTCTTTTCTATCGAGAATAGTCTTTGGTTGCTTGTCGATTGCGGTTGCTAATGATTCGGTGTTTTTCGCGAAATCGAATCCGTTATGCAGGGCGTCGAGAAATTGAAGCTCGGATGCGCGCTTTGGCTTGGCAGCGAAGCAGTTGAAGCTTACAGGCTCATGTCCGCATTTGCATATGCACCCGTACGTATAAGCTCTGACTTTAGTTGGTCGACGTCGCGATCTTGAAGAAACAACGCCAGCGCTTCAAACTCCAAGAACTCGGACCAGCCTTGTAATATCCGTTCAAAAAAATCACAGCACAGCTTTATTTGAATTGAACTTCACGCTGCCCATCGCTCCCGTTGGGAGGGGGCGGCGGCCGTTTAAAGGGCCTGTGAGAGGGAACCGGCGCCTCTTGGCTCTGCGAACGGGGCCCTTCCAGCGACCACTGATAGCCTGATGGCTTCATTGGCACTCGCTGGGAGGTGGGGAAAGCTTCTGCAAGGTGCGGGCGCTTGAGCCTGTGATGGGCTACGCGCCTCGTGATTGGGCCGAGCGCGGGTGACAGCAATGTCTCGGGCCAATCGCAGCGGCGGCTCGACAGGACGGTTAAGCGCCCAAGATCGGAGATGCATGGCTCGATTGGCCGGGCCGGACATTGACGGGCCAATCACGGCGCTGCGAGGGCTGCCGTTCGTTGCGGGATTTGGACAGCTGAGTGGGAATCTTGAGAGAAAAGGGAAAACCTGGACACTGAAAGTGCTGAAAGTGGTTTTAAACCCGGGTCGACTCGTGGTTTATGCGCCCATTCCCTTGCTGCTGGTGATGCCGAGCACGTTTCTTGCAGCTTCGGATGTCTGGCATCTCGTATACATGTTACTGTTACTGTACAGTAACAACCAACATGAAGGCGCCCGGCTCCGGCATTCCGCTCAAGCAACGTTGACGCCATCTCGCGTGTTGAGGTGACGCTCGCACAGGCTTGTTGCTCTGGAATCTTATTCGGCGACGGGGTCAAC